AAAATCACACCAGGGAAGCAGACCAATAGGAATTAAAAGAGTTTTAGGATGGGGAATACAACACTAAAGTAAGGAATTGCAGGATCAGAAAAAAATCAATAAGCCTGCCTAAAATATTGCTGTTGGGGTTCAGTGTTGGATGCTGGTTTCTAGGCATGACGAGAAAGTGGAGTGGGACAATGAGGGCAGTTACTGTGGTAGTCTGAGAAAAATCATTGCCTCTACCTGGCTAAACCTCTATGGGTTTGTTGCTAAGATTCCTGTGGTGGGCCAGGGACCACTGTGGGTCAGCGTGGCCAGCCTTTCAGGAAGGAGAGTCAGAAACGGAATAGAGAATAGCAAGTTGGCCCAACTTTGTCTCGTTCCCTCCTATCTTTGCAGTGCCGACCTTGATAGCAATACTTTCTGATAAATGCATCATTAGATAGTCTCATCATTGGGTGAACATCAGACCATACACATACACAAACTAATGATGTTATTGTTCTCTATGTTATCTATGTAACCAGTCTGTTGTTGACTTGGATGTATGCGGGACACAGTAGTATATGAGGTAAGGCATATGCTAATTGCCTTAACCATTCTTCACAGTGTACATATATGAAAACAATCATGTTGCATCCCTTAGGATTAAAGGAATGGAGCCTCTGAAGGGGGAATGATGTACAAAGGCAGATAGGATAAAATTGATTAGATCTGTGAGCTGTAAGGCCATGCTTTCACCACACAGCCTGTGTGATCCTATGCCCCTACCTGACCCCAGCTGTACACCCACCTGCCAATCAACCTACGTAACCACTCCCCTTTGGAAGTGTATAAAAGCCCTGGAAAATGGTGAGCCTGGCCCTTTTTTCCCTTCTTTGCCATTATTGCCCTTTGTTGCCCTTGTTGCCCCGCACCTTCGGGGCGCATGGCCTTTGGGTCACCTGCTCACGCTGCCTTCACTTTGCTCACCTTACCAGCATCCATTCTCCCTCCTTAAAGCAAAGATCTACTCACCCCACACTGGACTTTGAGGCGAGCTCTTAACTTCACTTCCAGTCTTTTCCTCCTACTTGTATTTCTGGTGGTCTCTGTGGCTCCTTTCCTTGGATGAACCAATTTCCCTCTATTTCTATCACTTATTTTTATATAATCCTCTTATCTGGTACAATCACATCATACAATCGCAAAGGTTTAAACTACAACTTATGTGAAGACCATTATATTAGTTATTGACATCTGGGCAGAAGTCTGACGTTACAGGAGAGAATGTGTTAATATTTTCAAAGAGGGGGCCAGCGTTGTGGCGCAGCAGGTTAAAGCCCTGGTCTGCAGTCCCGGCATCCAATAAAGGCACCAGTTCAAGTCCCGGCTCCTCCACTTCCAATCCAGGTCTCTGCTATGGCCTGGGAAAGCAGTGGAAGATGACCCAAGTGTTTGGGTCCCTGCACCCTCATTGGAGACCTGGAAGAATGGCCCAGCTCTGGCCATTGTGCCATCTGGTTAGTGAACCAGTGGATGGAAGATCTCTCTATCTCTGCCTCTGCCTCTCTGTAACTCTGTCTTTCAAATAAATAAATAAACCTTTAAGAAAAAAGAACCTACTGATATATTGCTGACCAATCAAATGAAGGCCATGGATGCTAAAGACCACTCAGAAACCCACACCTAAGCAACCATTCTAGCTACTTCTAGCTTTTAAGGGGCAATATAGAGGTTTTCAGTATTGGAAGAGATGAGACGACAGGCATTTTCTTTTTTCTGAGACACTCCCTGGTCTCAGGTTTAGCTGTGGAGGTTCTCGACATGATGATGAGATTTGGCCCAGGTAGTTTTTACAAAAATTTATCTTGTAGGTGCATCATCCTTGCACAGTAGCAATAAAAGTAGGAATTCCTTAATATCCTTATAACAACAGTGTGAGCCAGAAAAGTTTGTAGCTTTTTCTCCCAAATTTTCCTGAAAGGTTACAACTGCATGTTCAGCCTCTCAGTTTCTTTAGACCAAGAAACTGTTTCCATTGTAAGAATTCTGGAGTTTCTAAGAAGATACCAGTCGAGTCCAGCCTTCTGGAATACATTTGTTCAAAAACCTATAATCAGTCATTTCTAGGTTACCCAGAGAGGTTCAGAAGCAAGATGAATAAATTTTAAAATTATATTGTTTTCAGAGTAGCATTTAGATTATGGAACAATGTGGCTTAGTATCTCCCCAAACAGCCAGAAGTGAGCAAGTAATCTCCCTACTGTTCAAGAAGTGGCCCCACACAGTGAGGTGGGCTGCCCAAGGGTGAACTACTTGGCCTCTGTAGTACAGAACAGGTGGCTGTCATGGTTCTTAGATAAGCCAGGTGCCTTGGGTAGCAATGTCCAGATTCTTTTAAAAATCTGCCATTAGTCTGTGACCATACCACCCTGAATGCGCCCAATCTCATCTAAAAATCTGCCATTGGACATTTCATTTTTGCAAATTTTAACTCTACATTCTCTGTCCTAATCCTTACCTCTTGTTTGAAAAGAAGTCAAAGGCTTGCACATGTCTGAAAACCCCAAACGGGTGCTATTTATAGATGTGACAATATCGAGCATCATGTCTAGCATATCTCTTTTGAAATTATAGCCCTCTGTAGGTGCAGTATATGGTGATAGTTACTATCAGATAATCATGCATAAGATTCTTTTCTTCATAACCTCTCAGCCTTTATAGTTCAGTTTAGGGTGACACAAGTGACTCAAGACATCTTAATTTTTATATTCTCCTCTTGTTATATATTTTTAAACACTGATGATAAGTTATCCTATAGCTAGTTTCTGTTTGCTCCAGATTGCCAGGATGGACTTGTCCTGGCTGTTGAGCAATCTGATTGCCAAGCTGGGAATGGGTGTAGGGAAATAGCTGACAACCAAGAATCAGTGTCATAAGCCCCTTTGCCACATATTTGAGCAAAAAAATGGTTTGGAAGGTCTTTAAGCTAAGTTGATGTGGAGTCCATTGTTAAATTCAGCTTTATTAGTTCTGAGGAAGGGAGCTATCATCTCAAGTGCCAAACCAACAAATCAAGTTTGAATCTTAAAAACAATGAACAGGGGCCAACACCATGTCATAGTGAAAACCCCTGCTGTTGAGGTCATTTTGGGAGTGAACTAGTGGATGGAAGATCAATCTATCTTCTCTCTCTCTCTCTCTGTCTCTGGCTCTCCTCTGTAATTCTGACTTTCAAATCAATAAATAAATCTTTTAAAAAAAGGAGCAGAGTTGGAATTTAATAGCAGGCATATTGTAGTTGATTATTTGCATAAATATGCAAGAAAAGTTGATTAAATATAGAGTAATCTTAGATTTAGAAAACTCTGAAAGTTAGGAGGCTTAACCAAGAAAGACACTTTTTTTTAACTGTACTACCTAATATTTTGAAGTTTTAAGATCTATTAAGGAGTTACAATTTTACTTACTCACTGCAAGGTTGGGAGCCCTTGAAATAAGACATTATGTATATATTTTTAGAAGTGCTAATGTTTCAAATTATATTCTATTATGAAGAGAACAGATTCTTAATGAACTTAGGCAAATAGTCACACTGCCAAAAAAATTCATGTAAGTAGTTTTTGAATTTTGGAGGAACTCAGTAGGAAAATGGTAAATTTTTCATCTTTGTTTGCAAAAATATATTTTGCCAAAGTGTCACAAACTCTTTAAGAAAGAATTGATTTTAATCTAGAAGACAAAACATTTAAATATAGAACCAACAATGTTTTCAGTAAAAGACAAAGGAATATGTAAATTACAGTTCATTGAGTCTTATGTAATTACTGTATTTTATTTGAACTTTACTAGCAGTTTCATGACTCTTTTTTTTTTCTGTATCAGAGTTATTGAAAATGTAGTTGGTTTATTGATCTTTTGTCAGAAACTTGTATTTACAAATATTTGTTAGTCTTTTCTGAGTGTAAATGTTTCCAGAGAAGAACAAGAACTGTGGATGATAAAAGACTTAAAATCGCCATGATTCAAATTTAGATGACAGTTCAACAATCAATAAGGAGATTTTCATTATTTGTACTGCCTACAACATTTTAAAAAGCACAACAAGGTTTTACAAACTGTTCCATCCTTTGAGGCCTCTGGGGCCTGTGATGAAAGGGGAAATCTCAAAGGTCTTTTAAAGGTCCCCAATTCCATTTTTTAACTAAGATAACAACCATGACTGATAGCATCACACCAGAACTTTTATTATAAATGTTATATAGACTCCAGAAAAATAACATCAATAACATACCTATGTAAATACAACTTAAAGTTGAGCAGTACTTTACAACTTGAAAACACTTTCCTTAGCATCCAAGTAAGCTTAATTAGCTGTTTTCTCTACAAGAAGAGAACCACATCCTTTGAGGATCTCCCGGAGCCCCAACTGGAAATCTCAACCAAAGTCAAAAGACTTAATTTGAAACTTAAATATTGAGAAAGCCTTTCAAAGTTGTTAAGCACTTTGAAAACATTTGGTCAAAATAGGATCCCTGTTCCCCACAAAAAAAAAAAAAAAATTGTCATTCATTTAATTCTGGTTATCTAACAAGAGTTATTGACCACATTTAATTAGAGTTATAAAGCAGTCACTTAAATATTTTTTTAACTATCAAAAAATCTTAAGACAGTTATTCAAGCACTCAAAATCCAATAAAGACAGCAGAGAATACAAGATACTATCTTGACAAAACACAAAATTTCATTTCCTTTGTCAATTCCCAAAAGGTAAAGAAAAATATCTTGTAGTTTTTTTCCTCCTCCTAGGAAGCTCATCCAGATAACTTGGAAGTCAAATCTGATAGAGAATAATTCAAATTTAATGCTAGAATAACACATGCCCAAAGAATGAAGTTTTAAATTATCCTAGGCTTCTAAGATAAACATCTTTAATGTCAGGTCATAACAGAGACTGAATAAAAAAAAAACTTATGGGTTGACTAGAAAGTTCAGGAAAAGATTCACCAATTAAACTGAAATTATTTTTTAAAAAGAAGTAGTTCAGATGACTATTGAGAAAAAAAAATTTTTATATAAATTAACCCATTTATTATAGGCTGCTGATGTCTCATATGGCACCTCTGCTGGTCTTTCAATTCTTTCAGTCTTCTGATCGCAGACTTCACTGTGACAGCAGAAGTGGTGTTGTATGTCCAGGCACCACCAGCCACTGTTTTCATGCAGGAGCCACAGTGCCAGATCCCCACGGCTTGTCTCTTCATCTTGGTTTTGCCGCAGAAGGAGCAAGTGTACTTGGCATGCTGGCTGATCTCAATCTTCTTCACCATCTTCCGGAGGGAGGCGCCATAGCGGGTCCCGTATTTACCCACGATCCCGACCTTCTTGGTGCGTTTCGCCATAGCGCCGCCACCAAGGTCCAAGCCCAGAGAGGCGAGAAAATTTTTAAAAATTTCAAAATCAAAGAACAAAATTATTTGCAAATATTTACTAACACCAATATTTTAAGAAAACCTTGTTTCTTTAACACAGTGGACCAAATTCCAGTTTTACTCATTGTACTTTTGATATTAATGCTCAATTTTTAGAAAACCATATTAATAATTCCCTTTGAACTATAGCCAAACTAATCTCACACAAGAATTATCTTCCACAAGCTTCTTACAACATTCCTGGGTTCTTTCAGTTATTCTATTCTGTTCCTCTTTCTCTTTGTGGAACACCAGTCAATTTATTTTAGGGCAAATATTTCTCTCTTTTTTCCCTTAACCAAAACACACCTCTCTAATTCCAAAGCTTCATTTACCAAAAGCATATCTTAACTTCTGATGTTCTACCGACTGAGCTATCCGGGCTCTTGCAACATATCTTAATTTCTAACATACAGAGTTGTTTTTTCTTTTTCTTTTTCTTTTTTTCTTTTTTTTTTTTTTCCACCAGGCAGTTAGACAGTGAGAGAGAGAGAGAGACAGAGAGAAAGTTCTTCCTTCCGTTGGTTCACTCCCCAAATGGCCGCTACGACCGGTGCTGTGCCGATCCGAAGCCAGGAGCCAGGTGCTTCTTCCTGGTCTCCCATGTGGTTGCAGGGGCCCAAGCACTTGGGCCATCCTCTGCTGTCCCCCGGGCCACAGCAGAGAGCTGGACTGGAAGAGGAGCAACCGGGACTAGTACCAAGCGCCCCAACCGGGACTAGAACCTGGGGTGCCAGCACCGCAGGCAGAGGATTAGCCAAGTGAGCCATGGTGACAAGCCGTTTTTTCTTTTTTTCTAATTCTAACTGCCATATTTGATTAGAACTAGTTCTTACATAGAATAATTTAATTTGTAGTGAAAATCTAGTAGGCAGTTTTAAACTGTCATAGAACAACAATTTATGAAAACACATTTACTAATAGGTACAATGTCTTTTAAAGAATTTAAGAAGCCGGCCGGCGCCGTGGCCCAACAGGCTAATCCTCTGCCTTGCGGTGCCGGCACACCGGGTTCTAGTCCCGGTCGGGGCGCCAGATTCTGTCTCGGTTGCCCCTCTTCCAGGCCAGCTCTCTGCTGTGGCCCGGGAGTGCAGTGGAGGATGGTCCAAGTCCTTGGGCCCTGCACCCCATGGGAGACCAGGAGAAGCACCTGGCTCCTGCCTTCGGATCAGCGCGGTGCGCCGGCCGCGGTGGCCATTGGAGGGTGAACCAACAGCAAAGGAAGACCTTTCTCTCTGTTTCTCTCTCTCACTGTCCACTCTACCTGTCAAAAAAAAAAAAAAAAGAAGAATTTAAGAAGCCAAGCATACATGAATTATATTTAGAAACATCTATCCTATTTACATTTACTAAAATATTGGACAAGTAAATTAAGTCATTTTCTTATCAAAGACAACTCTATAACCTAAACTGTTGTAGTTCATATGTTGAAAGTGTTGCCATTATTGTGTCTTAGGTCAAAATTATACTTTTATGATTTTAAATATCTATAACTTCTGCTTAGTCAGTAAACTCAGGCACAATATATGTTAACAATTTTGAAAGCACTGGAGATTTATTAAATCACGTGAACAAAAGGCATTTATCATTACAGGGAGTGACTGAAGCCAGTGTCACAAGCAATGAAAATAATTTACCAGAGTAGGACACTGAGGAATGAACAGAATTAGATTTATTAAAATACCCCATAGGAGAACAGATTAGGTAGAAGCTATCTATTGGAGAATCAAATGACTTCATAAGTCCAGTGGTTAGAATCTTGTAGGGCCAGCCATAGCACTCCTCAATTTAATGAGTTAATTTTAGTGCTAACAATAGGCAGGGCAAGGACACTTTAAGCTAAGGGAGGGAGGCTGGGAGACTGGGGATTGATCGTCCCCCAATAACCAGAAGTGAGCTTTTAACCTCCCTTTTGTTCCAGAATAGGCAGCACAAATTGAGCTGAATGCACCGTGGTGGGCTCCTAAAAGTGAACTCTGTCTTGTGCAGTACATCACACGTGGTTGTTACGTTTAAATACATCACTCAACCCTGGTGACAATGTCCAGATTTAATATCAGACATTTTCCCCCTAATTTTGAGTCACTACTCCTAAGTAGTGATGAAGAGGTCAAAGAGCTTGCTCAGCACCTTACTGTGAGTGTTGTATACAGATTTTAGGATGAGGTCAGAAAACAAGTACATCTGGTTAGCATCTGTCTTGAAATGGGCACCCTGTCTAGAGAGTATAGTCCTAGCAGAGTATTTGGTGAGTTAATGGCAGACAATCATGCATAAAAACCCTTACTTCATAACCTCTTGGCTTTATTTAATTTTGTCTAGAATTGACACAAGTGACTCCATTTTAATTATTATTCCTTCCTTGTGATCAAGATCTTTTTCTGCGAATAATGTTGATTGATCATTCTGTTGCTAGGTTTTGTTTGTCCCTCATTGCCTGGTTGGATTTGAGAAGATTATTGATCCAGTTCCATGTTGGGAAGGGAATATTTAATGAACAGAAGCCAGTGTCAAAAACTCTTTTAGGTACATTTGAACAACAAAGAGGTTGAACTTAGCTTTGGGCTTTATCAGTTCTGCAAGTATGAGTCATCATCCAAAAGCTTCAAGCTAGAATTATCTTGCTGATGATCTTGAACATTTTTTCATGTGTCTGTTGGCCATGTGGATTTCCTCTTTTGAAAAATGTCTATTGAGGTCCTTGGCCCATCTCTTAAGTGGGTTGTTTGTTTTGATCTTGTGGAGTTTCTTGATTTCTTTGTAGATTCTGGTTATCAACCCTTTATCTGGTGCATAGTTTGCAAATATTTTTTCCCATTCTGTCGGTTGTCTCTTCACTTTCCTGACTGTTTCTTTTGCAGTACAGAAACTTCTCAATTTGATGCAATCCCAATAGTTGATTTTGGCTTTGACTGCCTGTGCCTCCCGGGTCTTTTCCAGAAATTCTTTGCCTGTGCCAATATCTTGAAGGGTTTCTCCAATGTCCTCTAGTAACTTGATGGTGTCAGGTCGTAGATTTAGGTCTTTAATCCATGTTGAGTGGATTTTTGTGTAAGGTGTAAGGTAGGGGTCTTGCTTCATGCTTCTGCACGTGGAAATCCAATTTTCCCAGCACCATTTATTGAATAGACTGTCCTTGCTCCAGGAATTAGTTTTAGATCCTTGATCAAATATAAGTTGGCTGTAGATGTTTGGGTTGATTTCTGGTATTTCAATTCTGTTCCATTGGTCTATCCATCTGTTTCTGTACCAGTACCATGCTGTTTTGATTACAACTGCCCTGTACTATGTCCTGAAATCTGGTATTGTGATGCCTCCGGCTTTGTTTTTGTTGTACAAGATTGCTTTAGCTATTCGAGGTCTCTTGTGCCTCCATATAAATTTCAGCACCATTTTTTCCAGATCTGAGAAGAAGGTCTTCGGTATCTTGATTGGTATTGCATTGAATTTATAAATTGCTTTTGGGAGAATGGACATTTTGATGATATTGATTCTTCCAATCCATGAGCATGGAAGATTTTTCCATTTCTTGGTATCCTCTTCTATTTCTTTCTTTAAGGTTTTGTAATTTTCATCGTAGAGATCTTTAACGTCCTTGGTTAAGTTTATTCCAAGGTATTTGATTGTTTTTGTAGCTATTGTGAATGGGACTGATCTTAGAAGTTCTTCCTCAGCCATGGCATTGTCTGTGTATACAAAGGCTGTTGATTTTTGTGCATTGATTTTATATCCTGCTACTTTGCCAAACTCTTCTATGAGTTCCAATAGTCTCTTAGTAGAGTTCTTTGGGTCCCCTAAATAAAGAATCATATCATCTGCAAAGAGGGATAGTTTGAGTTCTTCCTTTTAATTTGTATCCCTTTAATTTCTTTTTCTTGCCTAATAGCTCTGGCTAGAACCTCCAGAACTATATTGAATAGCAGTGGTGAGAGTGGGTATCCCTGTCTGGTACCAGATCTCAGTGGAAATGCTTCCAACTTTTCCCCATTCAATAGGATGTTGGCTGTGGGTTTTTCATAGATTGCTTTGATTGTATTGAGGAATGTTCCTTCCAAACCCAGTTTGCTTAGAGTTTTCATCATGAAAGGGTGTTGTATTTTATCAAATGTTTTCTCGGCATCTATTGAGATAATCATATGGTTTTTCTTCTGCAGTCTGTTAATGTGGTGTATCACATTGATTGTCTTGCGCACATTAAACCACCCCTGCATACCAGGGATAAATCCCACTTGGTCTGGGTGGATGATCTTTCTGATGTGTTGTTGTATTCTATTGGCGAGAATTTTATTGAGGATTTTTGCATCTATGTTCATCAGGGATATTGGTCTGTAATTCTCTTTCAATGCTGCATCTTTTTCCGGCTTAGGAATTAAGGTGATGCTGGCTTCATAGAAAGAATTTGGAAGGACTCCCTCTTTTTCGATTGTTCTGAATAGTTTGAGAAGAATTGGAGTCAGTTCTTCTTTAAATGTCTGGTAGAATTCAGCAGTGAATCCATCTGGTCCTGGGCTTTTCTTTGTTGGGAGGGCCTTTATTACTGTTTCAATTTCTGTCTCAGTTATGGGTCTGTTTAGGTTTTCGATGTCTTCCTGGTTCAATTTAGGTAGGTTGCATGTGTCCAGGAATCTATCCATTTCTGATAGGTTTCCCTGTTTGCTGGCATACAAGTCCTTGTAGTAATTTCTGATGATTCTTTTTATTTCTGTGGTGTCTGTTGTTACATTTCCTTTTTCATCTCTGATTTGATTGATTTGGGTCTTTTCTCTTCTTTTTTTAGTTAGTTGGGCCAATGGGGTGTCAATTTTGTTTATTTTTTCAAAAAACCAGCTCCTCGTTTGGCTGATTTTTTGGAATGTTTTTCTTGATTCAATCCTGTTGATTTCTTCTCTGATTTTAATTATTTCTCTTCTCCTACTAGATTTGGGTCTGGTTTGCTGTAGGTTTTCTAGATCCTTGAGGTGAATTGAAAGCTCATCTATTTGGTG